TACGAAAAGATGATAAAGACGGATGAACAATCAAAAGTGGTTCTTCACGGAGGACTAGCTGAGCTCTTAGGATTTGAACCGGGTGTTTACGAAGGAAGTGTCCAAAGTCCTTTCGTAGCGAATCCGAATGGTTTTTTCCCCGTTATGTATGTATACTGTGATTTAGTTGAACCACAAATCGTAGGTGACGTACAAGCCCCCCTTCTGAAAATTGTAACAGTGGAAGGGGAACGGACGGAGAGATTATTGACAAACATTACTCTCGACCCTTTTTTACCCAGTGATTTACCAGTGATTCGCCAACATTTTCAAACGATTGAAATCGAAATAAGGTCTCATTCGGGGAGTCTGGTGCCGTTTGAAAGAGGTAAAGTTTTCATAGTGCTCCACTTTCGTTTTGAGACAAATTCTATAAAAAGCTTTACCAAAGAAAAAAATTATTCATTCATAGTGTAAACGTTCTAAAAGCTGTATATCAAAATGCTCATTCCATATGCTTGTTGCACCAAACACTTTGAGGATTATTATGTGGGACAAACTGGAAAAGGTCTGCCGTATTATCAGGGAATGGTTTTACAGAAAGGATACGGAATAGGTGGATTTTTTTGCGAAACTTTTCCGTAGTGCCATGCCATTTTTAATTAAGGGAGCAAAAACTGTTGGAAAAGAAGCTCTACGTGCAGGAACGCAATTGCAAACGATGTGATATCAGGGAAAATTTAAATCAGGAAAAAAAAAAAAACTTTAAAAAATCCCTAAACCAGATCTAAAGAAAGTGGGAAAAAATTAGCAAAAAAGCAGATGAGATGATTGGTCACGGAAAGTTTAAAAGGAAACGCAAATCTCCCAAACGCTTCATTTCGTCTAAAGCCAGGAAAGTGCAAAGACGTGACATTTTCAACTCATAATGGCTTTCCTCTTAAAAGATTCTCCAGAATGCGCCAAATCTGAACTCGACGATTTATTTACATTACCTCCAACCCAAACAGTTATAGAAAGAGGACAATGGATAGAATTTCATCCCCTTGCGAATGTGTCGGATGGAAGTCCTGTGTCGAATTCAATGTCGCGGGTAGTGGCGATGACTATGACTTGGATTTATCTCAAACTCAGTTATACGTCAAAGTTAAAATTTTGAAAAGCAATGGCGGCTCTCTCGGAAAAGATGATAAAGTGGGACCCGTGAATTTGTTTCTGCACTCCCTCTTTTCTCAAGTTGATATAAGCTTAAATGAAAGACTTATTTCCTCCAGCAATAACACGTACCCTTACAGAGCCATCATAGAAAAATTACTTAATCATGGTTTTGATACGAAAACTTCTCAATTATCATCAGAATTATATTTTAAAGATACAGCAGGCCGTATGAATGTTTTTGATACTGCGGATAAGCAACCTAATGAGGGATTCAATAAAAGAGCAGAAGAATTTAAACTTAGTGCTACAGTGGATATGATTGGACGGCTACATCTAGATATGTTTCATCAAGAAAGACTTTTGTTGAACATGGTCGATATGAAAATTAAACTTATCCGCAGCAAACCGGAATTTTGTTTACTGGGGGAGGGGAATTTTAAAGTGTCATTGGAACATGCCTCATTATTTGTACGCAAAGTTCGAGTCAGTCCAGGTGTAATTTTAGGGCATGCAAAAAGTTTAGAAAAAGCGACAGCGAAATATCCTATCAACCGAGTGCTTTGCAAAGTGTATTCCATTCCATCAGGAAATATGAGTTTTGTTCAAGATAGTATTTTTACGGGCCAGATGCCTAAACGCTTAATTGTTGCTTGTGTCGATAATGATGCTTTCAACGGAAACTATAAAAAATCTCCCTTCGAATTTAAGCACAATCATATCAATTTATTGGCATTTACGTAGATGGGCAACCTATGCCTCACAATCCTCTTCAACCTGATTTCATGAATAAAACCTTTATTCGTGCTTATCAGAATTTATTTGCCAATGCAGAAAACCGAGGATTGTATCTTTCGAGATCAGAGTATCCAGAAGGATACTGCTTATTTCTTTTCGATCTATCACCTGACTTGTGTGATGGTTCTCACTTGAATTTAGTCCGTCATAGTAATTTGAGACTGGAGGTAAAATTCGGTTTCCCTCTGCCAATAACAACATCGTTAATAGTCTATGCAGAATTTGAAAACTTAATAGAAATCAATAAATCTAGAAATATTATCTACGATTTTGGTAACTAATGAATTCTTCAGAAATTCATAGAATACTCTCTCATGACAAATGGACAGCAAAGTACTACACTGGAGTTTTCCCTTCAGATAAAATCCCAGATGTTCATCGTTTCCCAGCAGCTATTGTAGTCAACACTGATAAACACAACGAGAAAGGGACGCACTGGCTGGCTTTCTTCATTGAAAATAATCAGACTTTAGAATTTTTCGATTCTTATGGACTTCCTCCCATGACTTATGGTGATGACATAGCAAAATTTACTAGCAAGTTTAACTGTGTGACATGGAATCAAGTTTCTCTTCAGAGTGTAACATCAAATGTTTGTGGACAATATTGTACTTATTATTTGTTAAAACGATGTCAAGGATTATGTTTGGAATCAATTGTATCTAATCTTTCTGTAAGAAATAGCGATTTTCATGTATTTCATTTTGTGAAGAAAAGGTATGGTGTAAAAATGATTTTTAAGAAATAAAATATTAATTTGCTTGGAATTTTAGTTTTGTCTTTCTTATTAATAAAGTGCAATTTACAATTTTCTTAAATAACTTTTCTTTTACTTTTATACCTTTTAGTTATAGAATAAATTTTAATTTAGGTTTCATTTAAGCTTAAAAATTATTTTTCCATTGTAAATTACTGGAAAAAAAAAGATTTATTTTACTCATGACATCTGCACATTTTTTAAGGGGAAAAAAAACTTACCTTTAAAAAAAAAATCTGGATCATTTTTTTTTCAACCTGAAATTAAAAAATATTTTTTCACACATAAAAACACACCAAATTTAACTAATATCTTTCTTTTTATTTAATATTTTATCCAAGAAGTTGAATACAATTTTTCTTTCTTTTTTACACATTTAGGTTTAGCATACATTGTAAACAGATACTTGTTTTTTACAAACTCCCTGGGAAAATCTACAACATCTAAGAATTTTTTAAACTCTTCATAACCTACAGGCTTGGTCTGTTGATTTCTTAACAAATAATTCACCAAGTCTTGAACATTAGAATTATTAATTTTAACTTGGTTCATGATTAATTCTTTAGATGGAGTCCATGTAATAATATCATTGTGAAGTTTTAAAAAGTCTATAATTCTTTTGGCAATGTTCTTAAATTTCACTGGAGCGGAATTCACAATTTCTTCGTCCAAAGTAATCTTTTTCTCTTCTTCTTTAGTATTCTGGACGCTTTCTGATTTCATTTGGGGAAACGTTACATACTTTTGAAGTATTTGAAGGTATTGCTTGGCTTTTTCATCTTCGGATAACTTCTCGTTTAAAATGGTGCTCATTTGCTGATCTAAATCTGATAAATGGTTTTCAGCAAATTCTAATTCTCGATCCGAGGGTACAAGGATAAATTTACGAGCGAACTCCATTAATTAATGTGCTCAGTACAGAAACTGCGGCAGGAATGAGCAACGAAAGAAATCCATCACCTTTTTGTACCAATAGTCTCCGTTTTTTAAATAAGGGTATCTTTTTATCACCTAATGTACGCAAAGTCCGTTTATATACGGCCAGTTTACGTTTCTGTCTTTTAGACAAAGGAACGTTACCCTGTAATACATTTAAAGCACATTCACATACACTTTTAATAACACTATTGGGGCATTTTCTTAGAAGAGTTTTTTTAACTTTACTTTTCCTAGGAGTCTAAGATGTTCCAGGCTCGACATCTGGACCGCAAAAGATTAGTAGTTTTACAACGCCTTCTCTTTTATAAAGGTCGCATAAGCAACCGCTTTTTGTGCAGATCTTATATTTTAGGGACATTTTTTAAATAATCTAATTTTCAAAAAAAAAAAAAAAAATTCGTTGTGGCAAATTTTATTCTTTTTACAATGTAAATGAGAGCTTTCAATTGAAAAAAAACCTACAAATTAAATCACTGAAGAGAGAAAACTTGTTGAGTGCAACAGCAACTAACGGAGTTCATAAACAAAATGCTTATCTGAAGGGAAAATGCCTGTACGTAACCTTAACATTTCTTGGGTTTCTGGTCTTAAATCTATTAGTAAATAACTGTAAGGGTTTGAAGTTGCATCCTGGAAGACTTCCTGAAAAGCCTTTGTTTTCCCGGGGAACATCTGCCTTGCCAAATGTACGACTTGACATTTATCTCTAGGATTTTTGAACAGTATCATGTAATGACAATTCAAATGAATGGTTCGCATCTCTTTACCCTGCTGAAATAAATTTTGAACGATAAATATTATAGAAAGATTTCGGTGATGGCTTCCTTTCGTAAAAAGTTTACTTAAACGAGTATCGCTCGCTAACTCAGACATTAAATCATCAATGATAATTAGTGCATTTTGCAGGGAATTGAGGTTCGATGGTAGTCCTTCTTCAAACTGCACATTTTTCATTTTACTAAAAATAGGTTGATATGCTCCATAGCAATAAATTATACGCTGAGGCATAGGAGAAAGCAGACTTTCTTCGATGACTCGTTTCACAAAATATGTCTTACCGGATCCTGTCGGACCGCTGATGAGAGATGTGGAAGGGTGTTTCAACACAGGCCACTCCATTTTGTGGGGTACTGATGATCTTCAGAAATGTGTGAAGCTTTATATACTCCTCTCGTTTAAGAAAAGGCTAAGAAAAAAAAAAAAAAAAAGTCAACCACACAATTTTAAAATTTTACTGCAAATATAATTTTTTTTAAACATTAATTCCAACAATAACCCTGCAATGAAATAAAATAAATGAGATGCATACCACTTAAAATCCATAGGGAACAGTAGTTAGATCTTCTTTTAGGACCTCTTTTGTTGTAAACAATTTTGTACAGTTTTGTTTCTGCCTTAGTTAAAACTTTCCTCCTTTTGGCATCTCTCGTGATTTTATGTTCATCGTACATGGCGATTGTTGTTTTTCAATCCATCGAGCACACTAAATTCTTAATCTCCGAAAAATTTACAATCTGTTGATTTTTGAAGTTGAGGGAGAAACCTCGAACTTTACAGCAAGTCTTTCCTCGTGCTGTTACATAAGCGTAATTTTTAGGTCCTCCTGAATGGGGAAAAAATTATGCTACAGAAACTACAAGAAAAAAATAAAAGATCAACCTAATAAAAAATAAAAATAAAATGAAGTTCATCAGAGACAAATGTAGTAATGGTATCTTCATTGAGTTCATCTGTAAACTCCCCCAAAAAATTACCAAGAGGCGGATCGTTGGTAGAATCGCTTGCGTATATAATTGAATCCGTGTCATGATACAACACAGCACGGCCCAACTTCTCCATTTCACTATAAAGCTTTAATCTTGCCCAAGCAGTAGTAAAAGCTGCCAAGAACACATTTGTGGATGTGTCCTGTGGAACAAAATAATGTTTATAGTCCCATTGCACAGCAGCTACTTCAGGAGTCGGAAAATATAAGTCTTTGATCTGGAGGAAAAGTTAGCAGGTTGCAAGATTAATCATTTAAAAATATACATCTTAATTTACATTAGAAAATAAAATTACAAAACTTACATTTTTTGTTGGATCTGCTAATAATTTATTGAAATCAGGTAATGTATGAACATAAGTCAAACGTATCTTGTTCAGGTTCATTCCCCATCTTTAAAGAAAAAAAAATATATAAGAAAAGAATGAGCATTTTTTTTAAGAAATAATAAATGATATAAAGATGTGAAACAACTCTTTCTATTAAAAACATTATAATAATTATTTACCGCCCCCAGAAGCTGTTCAAAGCCAATTTGGCTACTTGCCGTCTTCCAGGATTCTTCTTAATATTAAATTCATCAAGCTGCACACCCTCTCGCTCAAAATAGGCTTCAATGTAGCGTTTTCGTTCGGTCGAGCTTACACAATCGGCTGGCCAGCCGCTGCTTTCTTGTTTTTATTTTTAAAAACAAGTTGATATAAGATTGAAATAGAGTATCCGTAAATTGAGAAAAATGGTACACTTCATAAATCTGAAAAAAAAAAAAAAAGATAGTGGGAATATGAATATAATAATATACAATAAAAATACATGCTGTGACATTTTATAACACATTCAATAATACTAATAATTACCCAAAATACTTACCTTTGTTATACAGTAACCTTTTTTCACTGCTAATTTGACTTCTTCAGTCACCCATGTGCCAATGATTCCCCAAATCTTTTAATTGTAGATAATCGGAAATTTAGATGAAAAATTTTATTTTCCTTTTCGAAGATTTTTTCCGGGATCGTATTCTAATTTTATAGTAACAGGCTTTTGTGTTTTCCAGTTCTCCAAATTTTTTCTTGATTTCGTAACGTAACAGATGCGGGTTCTGTTTTAATACTTCGATGGCACGTGTTGTTATAACTGTATATCAGTTTATCTATAACATCAATATACTTTCGTGTATTCATTTCGGTAAAGTATTTCCACATTTTAGTTTTAAGTGTCCTATTAAACCGTTCCACGACAGAAGCTTTGGTAGCGTTGTGTGTCTTGAAAAAGTGAACGTTTTTCTTTTTAAAAAAATCTTGAACTTGCTTATTGGTAAATTCTTTCCCTGCATCTGTCTGTAAAGATTCGGGTGTACGTTCCGAAAATATCCTTTCGAAAGCAGATTTGATGGACATGGCTGTTTTATCTTTGAGAGGGATAGCCCAGGCGTATTTGGAAAGAATATCTATACATGTCAGTAAATATTTGTACCCATTATTAAAAGATGCCAGACTGAAATTGCTTATTTAAACATCCTACGATTACTCTGTTCCTGAGAAATGCGTGCCTTAAAGGCTTGCTCAAAGTATAAGAATCTTTGGTTTGCAACCATTTCTGGATGTCTTTTGTTTTCACGCAACCTTTTAAAGCACGATGCAAAGCAGTAACACCACCGAAACTCCCGGGGACTTGAGGATCTCGATACGTCTGAATAAGAGCTGCGTTCATTATAGCAACTATGTTATGATCGACTGACACCACACTGATATTCATTTATATAGTGCCTCCTACTTATAAAATATTTTTTTTTGCAATACTCTTTCAAAATATTAATTAATATCTATTAGTAAAAATATACAGTTAGAAAATTAAAATTCATGCCGAGTCACTCAAAAAGTATACAATTTTTTGAAACAAAAAGAAAGCAAAAAAAAAAAAAAAAAAAAGTGAATAAAAACTAATATTTTATTTTATTTTTCAAAAAGAACTATTCAGTAAATCTTTAAACAAATTAGTTTCTTCACATACATAAAAATTTTGAATAATATTCAGTACAGCATTTACATTAATAACATCAAAAAAGTCATCAGTAACAATTAGTTTACTAAAATTTATATTACATTCATTTTGACGAATGAAGTCTTTTGCTATCTCAGGCCAATTAACTGTAAACAAAGCCTGGTCAAAATAAGTTTCACATTTTTCAGCACGGCTTGTTGATAAGCATTCCTGTCCGAGCTGATTATTTAACCCTTGTTTGCAACCAAAACACACAAAAAGTTCTGAATTTTTTTTAGAAATAACGGTACTATTCGGTTTCGAGGGCCGTAAAAAATCGTCAAACTATTGTTGATGCCAATGCTGCCAAAAATAATTGCGGCAAGAAAGGAAGTATAATAGTAAATATCTATCTAAGATTGATGTTTTAATTTAGATGAAAGGTTAATTTCATATAATACTATTTTATTATTATAATTTATATGAAAAAGGCTAAACATGACTTAAAGGAAGCATAAGAGTGAATAACTATTTCAGATTATTATTATAATTTATATAAAAATTGCTAAACATAAACTGAATGGATGCCTGCATCGCTATTTCGCTACCGACTTATTGCTAAAGCATATTTTCATCTCGTTGGTTGTTCAAACGTAATTTTCTATAATGAATGATGCCTTTTTTTTTTTTTTTTTTTTTTTTTTTTTTTTTTGAAAATATTCTCGGTAAAGGGCAGATTCGCTCACGTATTTGTTTACCGCTTTTTACAAGGGTAAAAACAATTGAATTTTTGTCAATTTTCTTTTACTTTTTAAGTGAAAATAGGTCGATGTGTACATAGATAAAGTCAAGGGTGGGCGCAATGCCATTTTTGTGCAATTCTAGGATTTTTTTTTTTTTTTTTAAGTGAAAATAGGTCGATGTGCACATGGATACCGAGTATGTGCAATTCTTAAAAACGCGTTAAGCAGTGGGTGATTCTACACTTTACCCAAAATTCTATTGCCGAATTTTCGTCATGGGCAATTCCCAAATTGTTAAATCCATAGGATATCAAAAAAAGGATTTAAAAATTAATCTAGTATGTCAATGGCGTCTTAAGAAATATAGAACTATATAAACTTACGCAATCAGAAATCAACGCGTACGCTAGATTTGGCGCGCTGTTAAATAGGCGCGTTTTCTAGATTTGGCGCTTTTGCGCATACATATTCCCTGCAATTTTTTACGGCCCTCAAAACCGAATAGTACCAAAATAACTTTTTCAATACACTTACACAAAGAGTCCTGCAGCTCATGAAATCCATTTGGACGGTCTGGATCACCAGCATATTCATTCAATTTAAAATGCGTATCACCAACCACCTGCTTTTTCACAAAATAGTTAAGAGTTTTAGAAATAAGGGGGGGGGGCGTGTTTCCTTCGCGACACCACATATTTCACTATATATGGAGTCCAGTTTGCGTAAATGTTCTTTCCTCAACAGAACACGTTCCGGTCCGAATTCAAATCGTAAATCTTTTCTTTGGAACAATCTTTGCAGTGACATAATTATTTCATCGTTGACATTTTGTTTTGAAACACACACATCTTTCTTCACAATAAAAACACTATCGAAACCTTCAAAGGAACCAAATGTATTGGTATGATCGCATAATTCTTTATATACTAGAGGAGAAAGCGAAACTCCATCTTTGATAGGATGTAGCAAATCGTTGTCATCAGTCACATATTTCCGAACGTGAACACGAGTCAAACCTAAAAAACACGATACAGTCACAAAAATATCCCTTCCGAGGTGAAACATATTCTTTGACAAAGAATCAAGCTTCAGCAAAGTTTCGTCATATGAAGCACAGCAAAACTTCTTCGATGATAAACATGAATTTGCAGCTCGACGTTTCATTATGCACAACAGTACAACAAAGCAAACACAAAACTAAATAAGCAACGCGTGGTAACAACTTCCAAAATTTAGCAAGTAATGAATTTCGGAGGTAATCCAGCAGTTGAGAATCGGCTTCGAACTTTTTACTTTGTCTGAAAATTCTGACATCATTTTTCTGCTTTCTGATTGGTCCACAGAAATTTAATCATCCAGTTAACTTTAGTAGATGTTATGGACTCTAGATGGAGCCAGCAGCAACATATATTTAAGAAAAATCAATACAGTTTCAAAATCATAATTCATCTCATTCGCTGCAAATCATAAAATGATTTTGAAAAAATTCTTCCCATTAGAAAATGAAATCGCCCATTTAGAAAAAAAAAAACATTCGATAAATGGAAAAAAAAAATTAAGCACAATTAGTCTTTTATTTTTTCCGAAAGAAGGTCATCAATGTTCGAAAAAATTAAAAAGAATATATATATATATCTTCTGCCCCATTCGTCGTTTAAAAGAAAATTTTCTATCGGTAAAAAAAAAAAAAAAAAGAAAAGAAAAATTCGTTGAACGCTTTGCCGTTTTTTTTATAAGTACGAATTTTTAGTTATCTCAGTGCAGTAAGAACGTGGCTCAGTGGTAAAGCGCGTAGCTGGAGATTTCGACATCCAGGTACTTTTTGAAACTGCGTGTTCACCGTGAAAGGGCAGCATGAATCACCGTACAAGACCAAAAAAAAAATGGCTAATGTTCTCCAAGGACCACGTGATTCAGAATTTAATTAGTTAAGTTAAATAATAATTAATCCCTTCGCGCCGACTGTCACGTATTTGTGCCAGTGTCCTGGAACGTTTTAAAAACTATAATTTCTGCCACAAGATGGCATTGTATGTCCATATGGTTTCAGATACATATACATTAGACCTTCTACTCGAAATGAGAGAAGCATGACTCACATACACGTGTTTGTGATTATATAAACAAAAGGGGAAATAAATCTTTCCGAATGGCGTGCTTTATGCCGTCTCTTTAAATTCGCACGTGGTAGTTGTTTATTGTAAGTAGAGAAGTTTTATTTTTGCTAAAGCGTTGGGTATTTCGGTTTGCAGTTCAGGTATTTAGAAAATGATTAGATCTTGTTAGACGTGAATTCTTTCTGTTTTTACCGTTGCAATGTCGAAGCGTCGAAAATGTTCAACCAGAGCATGAAATAGCAGAAATGATGCAAAATATTTCAGATATTGATTCTGATAGTAGTGATAGTCATACTATGTAATGTAGTATCACTAGGATACTACGTTACATAGTATCACTATCACATTTTCCAAAGCTTTATTCAGAAGAGACTGATAAGAAAATGAGACGACGATGCTTCGTTTGTTCACATTCCCGGAAAAGTCCTCCAAAACGGCAAATGAGTTATTACGAGTGCAAGGAATGTAGATCCCTGGTTTCAAATTTTTCATACGAAAAGAGAATTTTAAGTAATATATTTAGTTTTCAGATGTATAATGTTAAAAGTCATAAAATGGTGAGTAATGAAAATAAAATGTGTAAAATATGCATTTAAACAAGAAATAAGGTAATTAAAGTATATATATAAAAATATTTATAAAGCATAAAGCCGTTTAAATACTCTATAGAGCATTATTAAACAATGCGTTGATACTTCGGAAATTTCATGGATTTAGGCTTAATAGCAAAAAAGCCCCCGGCCCTTGACAGACACTGCCGTAAGACACTGCCGGCCTCCGCGATAAGCGCGCGTTTGCGTTACCCGGCGTGAAGGGGTTAATGAAATTATTCATAAATCATTACAGAATAAAATTAATGAATACCCCGGCGATTCAGGACGGAAAGCATGGCGGGAAAAGGATGAGTCATT